ACACCGCCGCTGAAACTTCTGCCTCGGCTCTTCAAACCAGGGCCCCTCAGTGCACAAGCATGACACTTGCTAGGCTGCTCTGCCTGTACCAAGTGACACGCGCCCGCATGTTCCCTCTCATAATTCTTCTGACTGTACGTGCCCCGTATTGTACACGGCCATACTGTGCACATGGCGAAAGCTCCCTTTTGAAAGTGCTCCACGGTCGGCTTACAATGCTGCGAACACATAGCACATGACCACTATAGGTGACGACACTTGGGACACTTGCCATCCGTCGTTGTGGCGCAAAGTCGCTTTCTCAGTCGTCCTCACAAGGGGCGAGGAAAGGCAGGCACTGCATAAAAAATCAATACATATTATAACACTGGCTGTGGCAAACTAGTTTCAAAGATGATACAGTCATGTCTTCTTAATATGGACACCTCCGTACTATAAAAAGATTTTTTTTCTATAATGTAAGGTGTTTATATGAGAAAATTAAATTTAAAAGAAAAATTGGATAACAAGCATAACCAAACAAACAGTTTATTCAGCTAAAAGATAATGAGATGTGAGTTTGCTCTATCGCTTTAGAGCCGTTTAACATGTAGCACTACTGTCGTTTACAAGAACAGATACCCAGGCTGTAAAGTGATGATCGGCTGAATAGCAAAAGATGTTGCACTGTATGCACAAGCCGGATGTAATTGACACTTAGCTGCCGGCAGTTAGGATCCTATAATCTTATGATCGCAGACGGGAATTACATCTGGTGCCTACGGCTGGAATAATGTCTCGCTTCGTAACTTTGGGGGATTATCCCATGTGTGTAGCGGTAACGTTCGAGCTCCATCTCGGTTTGCTCTCGTTGTTAGTGTCGGGTTTTCGTCACTGTTTTGTGGGCTTATTCCGGTTTTATGAGCGTCGAGTCTTTTTAGTATTAATTTCTGGCTCGCAGGGCTCCATAGCTTTGAGCTGGAGTGCGGTTTGTGTTGAGTGCTCTATTGCCGTGTACAGCTTAGTTTTTCACTTTATTAAATCTAATCTTTTATTTGCTTATCCTCCCTGTGTCATCATCTTTCTCTACTGATTATACACCAGGCGTGGACCTAGCGCTAGTCAATGGTCGAACTTAGCTCTCTTGTTCTTTTCCCGTAATTTCTCGTTTATTCTCAGAGTGGATCATTGAATTATTTTTATTAATTTGAACCCCACTCCGTGACACCGAAACAGATGGGAAAGCACCACAACGTATTAAACTCGTCGAACATTAAATGTTCTTGAATTATACCTCACCCATGCTTGCTACGTGATGAAGCCCAAAGGTTAGTTCAATGCCAATCAATATTAAATGTCTTTAGATGGGCACCTGCTGCCCGATCATGGCCTATATTGCAAAGCACTGTTCACACATTTGCGAGTCCTGCAGTGCCTTGTGGAATGGTGGGCGATACTTGCCGTTCCGCAAGGCACTGCAAGACAGATCAGGCTCAACTTTTGAATGTCGACGTGCTTACGGAATGCTGCAGCAAACCAATCATTCGCCGAGGGAAAAAGAAAGGAAGCTGCATGCCTCCGTGTGCTCATTGCCAGTGTTTTCTGCTCTGCTATGTACCCTGCTTGTGTGCTGTGATTTGCAAGCCAGCGCGGGATATATTTCCTTGATTTGTTTGTCTGTTCAGCTGTGCGAGGTTGTGATTGAAACAACCAAGAAGTATAGACCGCCATTCTTTTCATCAAGCTAAGGCTTCGCTCATTTGAACCGGGGACGATGACTGCTGTTGTTTACACGATGTTCGACAGCTATGTGGAGTGGCTTTGTGTTTCAAATTGCAATCCTAAGTGCAAAAAGAAGTTACCGCAGACTATATTATTAAAGGTTGATTTCAACTGGCAGGCTCTGGCTACAACCACCTTAATATTCATTCAACATTGTTTGCATTTCTACTTACCCGTGATCGCTTCATTTGCCAAACACGTTAGTGGCCGGTCACCTTACCAATGAAACTAATGTGCTGGTGTCTCCGGCGAAGAATTCCCTCAGGGCTGCATGCAATGCACAACCCAGTTTGTAGCCCGTTGTGACTGAAAGCTTTCACACTGGGGAAACGTTGTTGTCACAAACGCAGTCAAAGAATGCGATAGGATTGAGGGAACAGGGGGATTGTCCAAGTTGACTGACTGCATGAGCATATGTTTCTATCGCCACCGTGTTTCCTCCACGCAGGCGACGGAGAAAACGATATAGAGACTCCTCGCGCTTGCCAATGCCAAGTTTCTCTAAAACGTCGAAATACGAGACACCCAGCAGCGAAGTGTCGATATTGCCGGAGAGAGCGGCGGGACAACGATCAGCGCAGGATCGCGGCTTCGCCACTCTTATGCGACGGTGTCTTCGGTTTCCGCTCTCTGCAGCTTCCACCGAGACACTAGCCGTGCCTAATTGTGCTAGCTTTGAGCACCACAGTTCATAGGGTTCACAGCGCCCGAGCGAAAGCTCGCGCAAAAGAACCGGCGAGCAGTCGAGTCGTTTCCAATCGACGGGGTGGCTAAACGCCGGTTGTGTGAATCGGGCTTAACGCCTGAGCCAGCTTGCTCAAAGCAAATCTAACGTTCTTGAATGTCATGTAATAAAAATCTGAGACGTGCTACATTCTATACAAACTTGATAAAAAAAATCAAACACTCACCTTCGGCTGCTACGTCCGCCGTACCGCTTCAAGGCAGAAGCAACATGGCGCTCGACGTTTTGGGGTGTTGGGCTGGGGTGTTTTCAGTGTTGCTTACACGCCTAGTCGTGTAAACCGAAACCGAAACACCAATTTTTACTACCCCAAGTAATTTTTTGACGATTTATCACTAGCAGAGCGTGTAAAAATATGCTAACGAGTGAAAATGGGGTGTAAACAGGCGAAATATTACATTTTCGCTAACAGTGTAGCAACATTCAGCTGCTGCAATGAATCATCTACTTATCTGTTTTTCCCAATAGTACGCAACATGTACAACTCTTATAGGGTAATACGCACACGACAGGGAGCAGCTACTTGCCTGGCACGCACAAGAGGTTTACCACAAGTCATTCATTTGCAGTATTGTTTTTACAGCAAACTACAAAAGTTACTACAGGGGCAAACCTGTGTAGAATCTAAAGCTGGAGCATAGCTCCATTTGATTCCATAAAAAAACATAAGAGATTGCACATGTTACAGGGCATGCAGTGCAAACACGTAACGATAAATGTGCCTTGTAGGCGCAGTCTGTGGGCGCCCCGGCAGAGGAGCACCCAGCTTCGCAGGATGCGGGGGAGGTGCTCGAGGAGGAGGCGGAGGAGGAGGAGGACGCGAATCAGGAGGCATCTACCTCAACGCGTAAGATATTTGACTTGACTAAGGGGAACTAAAACCGTCAGCAACATGAACATGACCACACTTATTACTGATCTAAACTATGTTTTCCTGCAGAAATGCCACGGCCTCGAGCACGGCGAGCCACGGTTCGACCAAGGCTGCCTGGTCGAGTCCCTCGAGTCTCTCGACAGGAGCAGCGGGACGAGGCGGCCTTTACGGCCGTGGCTAACCAGCAGCGCCTGCTCGACGCCAACGCAGGCCGCGATACGAGAGACGAAAGGTTCCAGGGACAGGTAATGTTGACAAATCCCTGAAGCACAGTAACATGATTAAACACAGACTTAATTCACACATAAGGTACCAATAGTTGGTGTCAGCAAAGTCTTCGTAACCTGTATGAGATGTTGGATGTCAAGAAATCTGCAAATCATGTTTCAGATCACGCTCGGCATGGGGCAGGTCCTGGAGCGGCTGGACCAGCTGGCACAGAACGTGGGGCAGCTGGCGCAGCACGTGAAGCAGCAGGCGCAGAGCACGGACCGGATCGCAGACAACATCTAGGAGGGGGTCCTCTCCATGCAGCAAAACGCTGCCTTCATGCGAGAGGTCATCCTCCTGCTATCCAGCCACGCTCTGCGTCAGCCTCAGCCCCAGGCCCAGCCCCAGCCCCAGCCCCAGCCCCAGGCCGAGCCCCAGGCCGAACCCCAGGCCGAGCCCCAGGCCGGACTCCAGGCCGAGCCCCAGGCCCAGCACCTGGCCCAGCCTCCAGAGGATCACAACTAAGTGTTGATTACTGTACCTTTTTTTTCTCACATCCAAGGGGATCTTTTTTTTATTTTGTATATATTTTTTAATGACAATGCCCCCAGTGGCTGCAATAAAATCTCATGACCTGTCGATCTATGTTCTCTGGCGAATGTTGTTATCTGTATATAATGTTTTATATGACAGTGCCTGAAGTGGCCGCAGCAACGTCTTTCGTGAACTGTCAACTTATGTTCCTTGGAGATTGTTGTTATTTGTATATACTGTTTTATACGAAAGCGCCTCGAGTGGCTGCAATAACATCTTTCGTCGAACTGTCACATAAAAAAAAACAGAAGTTTGTTTTCACTTGCACATACAGTTTTGTACTGCAACGTGTAGTAGCCTTTTGTGCAAGGAAGGAATTTGCAATGTTTGCAAAGATTTTTATTGCTAAAAGAATATCTCTGTCACAATCCACTCATGTGTACCCTCTTTGCAAACAACAAAAATATATCAAAATTCTATAGTTACAAAGAATACATAAAAATGTGGCACACCTGGGAAGGAGGAACAGAATGAAGCAGAGGGAAAAATGAGATTGTTTCATAAAGAGGCAAAATGATTTGCTCCCAGGTTACTTGGTCATACCTGTTACACAAGCCAATATCCAATAACACACGAGGAAATACATGACATAAAATAACAGAGTTTGCTGTGGGGAAAATGAGGCGGCCTGTCTGTGTTTGCCATATGAACTCAACTAACCAACCACGATCATGGACACATGATACTCATTATCTCATATCTGTTGCAAAATAAAATGTTATTCTATGGAGATCTATGGGATTTTAATCTATGGGATTTTAAGTGTGTAACGGTGGTTCCAAAGGTGTACCACCTTTGGAACCACCATTACACACTTAAAATCCCAAAATACATATTTCGGAAGCAGCACCATCCTTCTGCGAGGGTTGCACAATGGCTGTGCTGAAAACTGTGAGGAGCAGGAGCTGAAGAGACTGCGCAGTTCATGAACCGTCGTGACTGTGGACTGGAGAGAGTTTTATGCACTTCTACGGGGAGCTCCCTTGGCACCAAGGGTGCTGATGGGGGCCTTGGGTATTCACGGCACCTCAGCCCTTGCGGAACTGCCGGCATGGTGGCGACGATGACGACGAGGGGCTCCCTGTCGTCGCTGGCCTCCCTGGACGGCAGGACTGCCAGAGAGGCTAGATCGACGACGGACTCCTTGGTGGCGCCGCCGCTGTTGGCGTGAGGAACTGCCAGAGCGGCCTGCAGAGGGCCCCGCGACGGCACGGCTTTGGCAGGTCTCGAACTGGGACACAAGGCCTTGCCTCAGAGCCTTCCCCCTGTCCGAGAGGCGCACCGGAAGGTGGGCAGGAACCTGCCCGCCACCTTCTGGCTCTAACCCCGCCGAGCCCGGCTCAGAATCGTCCGAGCTCGACCCAGAGTCCGAGTCTGGACTGTCAGAGTCGGCATCTGGCTCCGGTTCTGGCTCCATCGATGCAAGGCATATATTGTTGAGCACTGCACACGCCGTTATAATGGCGGTGGCTGTTGTTGGATGGTAATACAGAGCCCGGTGCCTTTGCAGGCACCGGAATCTGGATTTCAGCAGCCCAATGCAGCGCTCCACAACGGACCTCATCGAGGAATGTGCCTTGTTAAACCGGCCGCTGGCGGTGGAGGTTGTGTGCACCCCAGGGACAGGGGTGATGAGCCAAGGTTCCAAGGCATAGCCGCTGTCTCCTGCGCAATCAGACAAAGAAATGTTCTAATATTGTTTTATTTACTGGGAATTTTGATATGATGTGAAAAAGCGCAAATGGTTAGGAAGAGAAGGGGACAGGATACAGCGCTTTTTTCACATCATGTTTAACCAACTAATGCACCAGTTATTTTTAATTTTATTACTGCAAAGGCCAAACAAGAACACCTTTGTGCAGCAACTTCTTCCTGGGTATGTACACAGTGTATGCACAAGTAACAATGTTAGAAGCATCAGTTTATACAGTATTGTAGCCTATAATCCAGGCTCAGCCGACATGCACAAATTTAACAATTTAAGCATGCTCACCAAGCAGGAACCTGCCATCGTCGATGAGCCGGCCTTGCTCGAAGTTGTCGCGGAGCCAGGAGAAGCGCCAGGCAAAGGAGTCGTGCACCGACCCTGGGTAGCATAGGTCGATGCACATTACCCGGCAGCGGGCGTCACACACCTGTTGTAGAGATAGGATATATGTGCTCAGTAGTTTCCCCGAATGATCAAGCAAAGCACACTGTTAGGCAACGCCAATTCCAGCCTTAAGCACCATTTGCAAACTAATAAGCAAAAAAAGAAGAAATCCACGACTAAGGTGATTGTAGGACACATTGCGCCATACATGACCAGGCACTGTCAGTTTGGATACACAAAATGAGCCACGCTCTAGCTGTGTAAAGTATGTATGTATACGTACAATCGCGAACAGTATGATCTGAAACAGCACTCCGGCCGCCGCACGGTACTACCTGCGCCGCCTATCGCATCGCTCCGCAAACACGGCGCAGCCTGGGGCCGAGTGGGCGTTCCAATGCGACAGGCGGCGCAGGTAGTACCGTGCGGCCAGAGCCGTATATGGGGAGAGTTTGGTCAGTCTATGGTCTCACCGCCGTAACGCTCTCCTCTCGAGTGAGCCAATCAGCACGCGGCGTAGAGCGAGAGGCATGAGCGCATGCGCGTGAACTCCCGGCTGCTCCCACCTGAGTGAGGAGGGCCGCCATCTTCAATCATTCTCCCGGCGGAATGCGTGGGATCGGCATCTAAATCTCGATTATTGCCTTTTATATCGCTGGCTCTGGCAGGAAAATGACATTCTGTTATTCCTCGGTGGGTTAAAAATCTAATAAATCAAGATTTTTCGGCATATGGCCACAAACTTTTATTCAGGCGAAAAAGAAGTCGGCGCGTAGCAGACGACGCGTAGCCTCAGCAGCGCTCTTCTCCGACCAGTCTCCGACAGCGTTGCTCAAAAATGGCGGTCGCCTCCTCTGTGCTCCCTTCTTTCTCTCTAGCTCCTTCGGCGCTCTCCTCCCTTTCGTTTACTTTTCTCCTCTCCAACGTCTTCTTCGCCACACCCACTGGCCAAACTCTCCCAATATACGGCTCTGCGTGCGGCGTCCGGAGCGCTGTTTCAGCTCATATTGTACAACATGGAAGAAGAGAGAAAAACAAAGGGGCGGGTGGGGGTTGGGGTTGGGTCCGGTCCAGTGTCGAGCTCGCTCCCTCCCAGTCATCCCCCCCATAAAGCCTACGTTTATATAGTTAAAAAAAAAAATGAGCAGCTTTCTATGCCTACCCTGCATCCGCGTCGTCATACAATATAAGTTTCGTTCAGAGGTTACTTACCACCATCACGTTAAGGGCGTAGTACTGCTTCCTGCACCAATACGCAGCCTTCGTGACGGTGGGGTCGTACTTGGACGGGCCGACGATGCTGATCATCGTCCCGTCGATGCACCCGATGACGCCCGGAATCCTGCCGAGTAGTTGGAAGCCCCTCTCGCTTGCCGTCTGGGGAAAGTGGATCCGGCCATGTTGGATCCCCAGACGGCGCACAATAGCGACGGACACGGCCCGCAAGGCGATGCTGACCGTGCCTTGGTCCCGTGCTATGTGCTCGTCGCTCGCCACCGTGCCTTGGAAGCTCCCCGTAGCATAAAACCGAAGGGCGCACAGCACTTGGTCCTCCACAGTCATGACAGTACTTGACCGACGCAGTCTCTGCAGCTCCGGCTCCTCGCGGAGTTGGTCGCACAGCCACCGCACTAAAGTCTTCGCCAGGCGGTACTGCTTCCGAAATACGTGCTCCGGGAGTTCAAAAGCATCCCGATGGCTCCGGTTGCGCCTGTCCACCGGATACAACAACTGAAATATCGGGGTGCAGTCCATCGTTCGACGGGACGGCGCGGACGCGTTGCACCCCATCTTGCTTCGTTCTTTCGAAGCGACGTAACAGCAAAGTATTCATGTCATTTTGACGTCACGTCCGTTAATGGTAGAGCTTCCGGTTTACCGATTTCCGCTCACTTTTGCTTTGTTTTCTTCTGCAAATACCGTCATCAGCGATTCCACCAATCGACATCCAAAGAGAGTTGTTGACGTCACTTCCCTCTCCCTAGTCTCCTGGGAGTGCAAAAAGCGCAACATAGCCCTCCAGAAGCGCTTCAGTAGGCGCTCGGTTAGCGCTTCAGCAGCGCAGTGTCACACTCCTTGTCCCGTGCTTGCTGCTGCGGAACAGCGCGTGCACGGCGATTCCGTCGTTGTTTTTCCTTTTGCATTGAAAGAAGAGGAAGTAAAAGCCGCTCTCCAAGCAAAGGGTCGGGCAGACGATCCAGAGTTATGGACGCTGAGCGACTAATTGATTGGGTTCTACATCATCACTTTCTATTCAATATGCGTGACCCCGGTTTCAAAGACACGCAGTTAAAGAATAGTCACCTTCGAAAGAGCTCTGTGTCTCGGTCCCTCAGGCTAGGAACAAGGTTCGCCGGGTACCCATCGGTATCTCGGTGGCGAAAGATTTCGCGCATCCACAAGGCTCTTCTGGGCGTTAAGTCGTCCACACACACATGCACTAGTTGCGCATGAAAGAGCATTTGCCGTATTTTTTTATTTCTCTCATGCCTGCCACCCGACCACAGGAACCGGAACCGCATTGCACGCGCTAATCCGCAGCACCGCGGTACAAGAAGGGCTAACAAGGCGCTACTGAAACGTTAATCACGCGCTATGTTAGGACGAAATCACGCCCTAGGAACCGCCAGATAAGCGCTCCTTCGAGTGCTCCCGTAGCGCTAACTTAGCACTCTGCTGTATGTGTGAACATGCCTTTAAAGGGGCGGTGCAGCGATATTCAATTGGAATGTTTTTAACTTTTCACGAGCTTACTGGCACTAATGGGACTCAAGTATACTTGCACGCAACGCCACTGACCAACAAACTCCTTTGTTGCGCTGTAATTTCGATGACAAAACCGAGCGCTTTCGTTCAATCTCTCCTTCGCAAAACCTGATGACGTAACTGGGTGGTAGCAGTACCGCCCAGTGACGATATTTGAATGCGGCTCATAGATTGGACCCGAGCATGGCGTGGACACTCGATTTGGGCTCGTGATAATCGATAGCTCGAGAAGCATTCGGGTAGTGTCCTGTATCCAATCGCTGCAATGACGACAACAGCCGAATCATAACAATGTCTGGAACTCAGCGCGTGCCCTGTGCTCTGCCAACCCCAGTGCATGGCTATGATCAACATTGGCGGCATATAATCGGCTCCAGATCACGTGGCCGCTTGTTCTGCAGAACAAGCGGCCACGTGATCCGCCTCAACTGGCAGTTCACCCCCTCAACTGGCAGCCATGGCTGCGAGTTGAGGGGGTGAACTCTGCTCGTTTTTCTTTATTTTTTTCTGTGACTTCGATTGCGTGTGGTGAAAAACGAACGGGTATTTCACAGGTAATTAACATCAGGGATCCGTTCTAAGCGGTTTTTGCGCGAAATACAAAAATCGTTGTATCGCCCCTTTAAGGTGCAACCCCACCCCTGGTTAGTGTGATTCTGAATCAACAGATGGCGGTGGGATCGCCTTCCAGGCTTGTACATCAATGCGAGAAATTGTGTGTGGTGGCGCTTCGATACAGTGGGATATTTCTCTATATCCTGAATTTGACATCCCTGGTCCCTTGCTTATTTTTGTCTGCACGAGCTTTCTTTGGAACGCGCACGGCTGTGCCAGTTCTCATGCAAGGGGGCCAGTTGCCACGCTCCGAGCTCACGTCTCCAGCTTCAGCAAATGTGGGCAGAACAGAACGCGAAAATCATCCTGAGCCAAATGGCGAGACACATGTACAACAAAACTACCGACGCGTTGAAAAATAAAAAAAATGCCGGTGCGCTGTTATTGGGGATTTCAGAGGCCAATGACATATTACAATGTGATCAGATTTATACTGATGCGAATGAAGGTGACGAGAAGACGAACAGTGAACTCAAAAATAAAGGTTTAATCGGTGAACTTGTTCCAGCAAAAAAGTAAACAAAGAGCGTCGAGGCAGCAGAAAAGCAGGCGGCGATTCGGCAGCGTAACAAAGAGCGAGAGCGAGACTGACTCGACAACGTCGCTGGCAGCTGCTTATCTAGAGTGCGTCACGTCACCATCTCGAAAGTTCGGCAAAGAAGGTTCGAGCGTCGCGCGTTCGGGGTGAGGATGAACTGGCACTTTCGAGGACAAGAAAACAGGGCGAAGGTTCCGTCTGGTGCAAGAATGAACACGAATTATCCTCCAGAAGACCGTGACCGAGCGTTGCTTTCTCGGCTCTGCGGGCGGCAATATGACGGGCCGGCCTTTTATCGTGCATGTGATTGGATCTTTCTGGATTTCCAGCAAAACGCGATGACGTCATAGTCTGGTTTCCAAAATTATAACTTGAGGAATTAACTACCTAAAAGCAAAGACTATTTTTTGGGCGGTCAGGTGTCTCATTTAGGTAGCTGGGTGTTTATTTTTACCCAAACCACGAGACTGGAAAACACGAAAAATAACACTCAGGTTTAAATGTTGAGTTTGGTAAACCCAAAGTAAGACTGGTGCGGGGGTCATAATAAAAAATGCCGAGGTTAAAAATAAACTCACAGCAATAAAGAATAATTAATAATTTTAATACAAATTTGGTGATAAATGCAATGACTGACCGGGCAAAGATACTGGGTCTGTTGATAGCTTTTGCACATAGTTTAAGCAACTTGCAGGGTGTCACAAAAGAAAAAAATACAGGGTTCATTTTTACCGCAAGAATAAACTAGGCATCGCCGAACGCTTAATCTCCGCCCATGTCAAAGTTTCAGCCTAATACGATACCTTCTTCGAAAATTATAAGTGATTTTATGAAAAGTTCAATGGGAAAATAGCGGCCGACGTAGTTTTCGAATACATGGGGCTCTATGGGCACCAGAAACGAAACACAGGCAAAAATGGGCTCCATTTTTTCCCATAGGAATTTTCAGAAAATCACTTATAACTTTTAAATAAGGTGTCCGTTTGGGATGAAAATTTGGCATCTGGTTGTGACCTCTAGCTCTACCTTTGGGCGGGGAATGAGCGTTAGGCAATGCGTAGTTTATTTTTGCGGTAAAAAAAAAAAAAACTGTAAATTGTTTTTGTGACATCCTGTGCCAGTCTTAATTTGGTGATTCATGCGCGCAAGTAGTGGTGTGCAAAAATGAAAACGATGCGAACGGGTAGGCTTTGACGTTGTATAACATATAGTGTAAGCACGCACATATAGTACGCTGATTAAGAATGAAACAGCCCTACGTTTTAAACTAGCGTTGAGCGTGTCGAAAGTTAAGGGTGCATCAAAAGCTAAAGCTTGTACACATACACTGCTCAGGCCATTGTGTTTGAATGCTCATAGTAATTTATTACCCTGAGATTTGGTGCAACTTGTCTCCTGATTGCTTACAACAAAAAGAAGGAAACATTCTAACTCTGGGTTGGTAGAAAAACTCCACCTCTTGACGGCCACCAGTCATCTCGGCGCCGATTATGAGTATTCACTGCATGCCAACGGTCGCGTGCTTAGAACGAGTTTTTCCCACGTGATTTCATACGATCGCAATTGTTCTTGACAAACAACAATGTTTAGCCAGGCAAGCGGTCATATGTGAAGCTTACAATATTTTCTATTGGTTGTGGCACACCTGGCAAGTTGCATAGTTTTTTTTTTTTCTTTTTACAATTCGCGAAAAAGAATGCTCTTGGTTTACCTTGGTCTCTAATAATTCATGTAGCACACAAAAGAGCACGAACTGAATCGCTGTGGGAAACGATAGTAATAATGATAAACAAGCGTGTAATCACGCGAAAACTGAGGGTAAGCTGTTCTCACTAAATACATTACCAATAAGGTACTTGGTTTTATCCTGCGAGCGAAGCGGAACATACAAGTGCGAGCATACTGTCCTGAACTACACTTCCAGTGAACAAGCGTATCATCCAAAGCACTGAGCTCGCTTTTATAACGTGTGGTGCGCTCAGCGATCCCCCACTGGAACAAGCGCACCATCCAAAGCACCGAGCTCGCTTTTATAGCGTTTGGGGCGCTCAAACCTTTGAAAACACAACTATAATCAATTCTCTTATTTCAATTATTTTTATTAAGTGCGCCTATGCTTTTTTGTTTGTGTTTTTTTTTTTTTTTTTACTTTTACGTTCACGTGCCATTTTCTTAGTTCTATATTATTTTTCCACAAGTCTGACAACTATAGTGTGTTTCATTATAAGAGCCACATAATCAAAGATTTAGACAAAAAAAAAATAAGAAAAGAACGCGAACACACATTAAAAATGCGATGTAACGGCGCATTCAAAATTAGTCGTTAGTTGTTTAGAGAGCAGCAATTTCGTGCAGTGCAACTGTTAGCTCGGGGTCTTTAACGTGCATTACGCAGTATATGTGATACGCGATCGCACCAGATGGGCAACTGA